ACTGCACCTACAGCTAACTTGCTTTTTATATGAAAGGTTGGCGATCTTTACCAGGAGACATGCAGTGATCTGAAGGTGACGAATCTACGGAGATGAACAAAACAAACATGCATCCACCACCTGCTTCAAAAATCAAGAACGCTTCCAGACTGTTATTACCCTCTGGGCTCCCCTTTCTTCCAACACGCCTCGTGAACCATCCCCACGAGGGTTAAGTATTTTCCCAAATTTTATGTGTCATAAGGAAACAGTAATACTTTTGCCAAAGATGTCTGTATCCCTCAATGACATACTATTGTTCTGTTCTACTTCCTTTGTTCACTGGTAATATGGTCAAAGGAATGTGAGCAGTGTGGTGCCCTGTGCATTTTCCCTCTCAACAGTGTATCTTTAAAATTCATGACGGCGTGGTTTGTAGGTTTAGTGTATTTGCCTCACTTTTGCACAATATTCCCTTGAGCGATGATCGCACACAGTGTATATCCATCCTCCTGCCAGCAAACACGTGGGTTGTTTGCTAGTCTGAGTATCGGAGAGATGACTCCTGAGAGCATGCTTATACGTGCACACACGTGCAAGAGTTTGTCCAGAGTTCCTACCCACGAGGGGGGAGCTGCTGGGTCACGCTCAGCTTTCTACGATGCTCTAGTGATGGATACGTGTCACTAACGGCGTTTGCACAAACTCACGGAATGTCCAACACCAAGAGGGAACTTGATGTAAACAGAGTTAAGGCGATACTGTTTCAATGTAGGCTCATCTATTTTAATTCTACAGATGTGTGTGCCAGTGAGAGACGTTGATTGTGGAGAAGGCTTTGCGGGGCCGTAGGGAGGAGATGGGACTCTCTGTCCTTTCTCCTCATTTTTACTGTGAACTTAAACCTGCTCTAAGACACAAAGTCTATTGTTAAAATTAGCACCTGGAAATAAAATCTCATTCAAAAATGATTCTGCTAAACAGAAGGTGAAAGAGTGTTAATGGTTGAGGGCACAGAGTCGGTTCTGTTTTTTAAATTAGAAACCACTGAGTCCAAATGGCCCCGTCAAAGGCGTGTGCAAAGATCCGTATCTACTTACATGGTCTCAGAAAATTCCAGAGGGAGCAAAGAAACAGAAGAAGGCAGGGCTGTACACAAGCTGAGTTTCTCGATTGTTCTGCAAAGCATCCAGCAACAGGGCAGCGGGGGCGTCCTGCAGGGTTTGATGGAGTATGGTTCCCGTAGGACCGGCAGGCAGGTTTGCAAGAAGCATGCAGCGCCTTGAGGTTACAGGGACAGCGGTGGAGAGAAAGCCTACACCGGGGAGACGTCGGGGACCGATCAGAAGACAGCTGCACCACGGGCGGCTCCGCTGGTTTCATTCCCGAATCACACGTGTGTGTTGGAGGAAGGCACAGGGATGGAGGCAGCGGATTCACGAAGTGTGCGGCTGTCTGGTCAAAATCCTGGGACAATAACAAGAAACCCATGGGCAGGTAAGTAAAGCTAAGGGGTAGAGCGCATGCTTTGCATGCACGAGGTCCTGGGTTCAATCCCCCCCGTACCTCCGTCGACAACGAAACAAAAAGAGCTTCAAGAAAAACAAGCAAAAAACAAACTCAGTCAGCGGCGGCTGTAGATCGTGGACAGCCTCTGCCCCACCAAGCGCACAGGTGCACGATGGAGCCACATTTGCTCCCAGAACAGCCCGGAGCCATCGCCCAGCATCCTCAGAAAGACCTAGACAGAGCCGTGCCCTTGGGGACCGCTGATACCCCTGCCTGGTGAGAAGGGGCCGCTCCCCATGTCTGTACAAAGGGCCTCGGTGGAAATGTCTGAGCTGTGCTGAATGCGAAGCCATCTCAGTGTGTGTGTGCGTGTGTGTGCGAAAATACAACTTGGAAAAAAATGGATTTTAGCTGCACAGATGGTCTAACTTCCATGACCTCGTGACGCTCTCGCCCATCTGAGACCTGATGTCATAGGCTGATAATGCCACTCCGCGTCTGCTCAATATGAAGAGAGAAAAAAACCCAGCTTGACCTCCCAGTTGACAGACCACAGGTATTTAGAAGATTGAGCAAGACGGGGCAGCTAAACACCCAGCACACGTGGAGCTGGCTTTGCTCAGATGCACTAAACCCAACCTGTCTAGACACGCCGCCCCGACAGGCTGCAGCTGGCCAGCTGTTCCCGGAAACAGTGCAGTCTCTCACGGAATCCACGGAATTACCACACCCTGGGACCACAGGGGTCCTGGGTGCTGTGTTGTGGTGTTCCAGGCTTTGTCTTCTCCAGGCGGCGTATTCACTAGCTAGGGTTCTCTAGAGGGAGAGAAGCAGTAGGAGGCAGAGACAGAGACACAGATAGAAAGATACAGAGTATCTGTGATTTCTGTATCTCTACGTCCATCTCTTTGTGTATCTGTATCTGTATCTGTATCATCTATCTGTATTTAACTGTTGATCATCTGTTTTTCCTCTTTATTTCAATCATCTATGCATCTATCTCACATTATGATTTATCTATATTATCTGTCTCTATATTTCTAGCTATCTGTACATCTGTCATCTATTATCTATAATCTTATCATTTATCTCTGTATCATCTATCAACATATTATCTATCCATCTAATCTATCTATACTTCCATCCATCCATCCATCCATCCACCCACCCACCCATCCACCCACCCATCCATCAATCCACCCACCTACCCATCTATCCATCCATCGCATCTGTCTATCCACCCATCTTATCTATCTATCTCTATCCATCCTTCAATCCATCTTATCCATCCATCTCTCTCTATGGAAAGAGAGAGAAAGAGGCAGACAGATTTATTGTCAGAGATAGGCTCACATGATTTTGGGGGCCAGCAAGTCCAAAATCCCTAGGGCAGTCCAGTAGCCTGGAGATTCAGGTAAGACTTGATGTTGCAGTCTTCAGTTCAGTGTGATCAGGGCAGCAAGTTGGAAACTCAGGCAGAATTCCTTCCTCTTTGGGGCTCCTCAGTCTTTTTCCACTCTTGAGCTCTTCGCCTGATTAGATGAGGCTCACCCACATTATGGAAGGTCACCTGCTTTATGCAAAGGCTACTGATGTAGCTGTTCATCACATGCATAAAATATCTTCACAGGGACATTTCAACTGTTGGACCAGACTGGGCCCTGCGGCCTGACCTAGTGGACACACAGAATAATCCACCGCAGGCTGTATTTAAACAATACTGCCTTATCAGGCATGGTTGATGGTCTGACCCATCCTTGAGTAGAAGTTAAGCAAAAACCTTACGAACAAATTTGCTGCTCTTATGACACTGCAAGGACATTTTTTATGGAGAAGTCTCCCGTAGGATTCCCAGACATCATCTCCTTATGCTTTTTTTTTTTTAAGGATTTTCCATCTTTGGAGAAACCTCCTCAGTAGTGCCCACGCCACCCTTGATGGACCCCTGTAGACAGCAGTGATGGGTGTGGACCTAAAGAGTCCCCATTTTCCCTCTAACCAGCACTAAACAGCCCTGGCTTTGCACAGCTTTCAGGGATCTGACTCATCTCCTTTTTGGAAAATGCAGTCCATTACTTTTCCCCCTGCATGCGGCCAGACCGTGCGTTCTCCCTGTCAAGCTCACACAAACTAAGATAAGCCTAATTGCTAAATGGATTCCCATAAATACCAGTTTCGCAAGGACATAAACTCGGCAGCAGCCATTAATCCAGAGCGCATTCCAGAGGACAGCATCACGTGTGATTTAGGAGAGCATTAAGTCGGTGATTTATGCGTCAGTGACTCCAAGAAGTGAGCCGAACAGATGGAGGAGTGATCCTGGAAGCAGCCACCATGTGGTGAAGAGGAAAAAAAGATGGCAGGGCAAGTCCAGTCCCTTGCGTGTTTGAGCTTCTTGGTTCCTAGACCAAGGGGGGAGGTACCTGGAAGCATCCAGCTCACCTCACTTCTTGATGTAAGCAAGGTGCACAAATGCAGAGTGGCATCTCATGCTATGACAGAATGGGTTCGCCTTCCAGAACCCTGAAGGACAGCACGTATGCGGCAGGTGGGAAAGAATTATGGGTGCCCTCCAACCCCTGGAGCATCTTACAAATATTCCAATTGTGAGACACTTAAAAAATTTTTTTAAATGACTTTATTGTGGTATGATGCCTGTACAGTAAACTACATCTATTTCAGATGTACAATTTGATGAATTCTGATAGATGTAGACACCCATGAAACCACTGCCATAATCAGGATAGGTAACATTTCCATCACTCTACAACAGGTGCAAGTTTTAAATTCCCAATTTATCCCTTCCCACCTCCTTTCCCTGTTGGTAACCGTAAGTCTGTTTGCTATGTCTGTGAGTCTGTTTCTGTTTTGTAAGTAACTTCATTTGTGTCATTTTTTTTTAGATTCCACATATAAGTGATATCATATGAT